ATTCTGATCAAGGCCATAACTTTGAATCAGCTGTGTTCCATGAATGCTGCAAGTTATTTGTCATACAGAAGACCAGGACAATGCCACTTCACCCACAGTCTGATGGAATGGTAGAAAAGTACAATTGGACTCTGGGACAGGAATTGGGAAAGTTTTGTAATAGCCGCCAAGATGACTGGGATGTCTTACTCCCTCCACTGTTGATGGCCTATAGAACAGCAGAGCATGAAGCCACTGGATACACTCCAGCAAAGCTGATGTTTGATCGAGAACTTCAGTTGCCAGTGGAACTGATAACAGGATGCCCACCCTACTAAGAGTTGCCTGAAAATGTGCCAGAGTTTGTGAATATGTTATCTGAAAGGAAGGATGATATTCATTATTAAGTGCGTTCAAACTTAAAAACGTCTACTGATTCCATGAAGCTATGTTATGATAAGAAATCTACTGAAGTCAGCTTTGTACCAGGAGACAAGATGTGGTTGTATAATCTCAGGAAGACCAAAGGGAAGTATCCTAAGTTGTCTTCTCCATGGGAAGGCCCATATGACATAGTGGATCGTCTCTCAGACGTGACTTTCCGGGTAAAATGTGGTCGGTGAGGTAAGCCAAAAGTGGTGCATGCCAACAGGCTTTGGCGTTATCACGGTCCAGGACAATTCAGTTGGGACGAAGTGGACAACAGAACAAATGACGCTGGTGAAGACGTGTCACATGAAAAAGCCACTGTCGAAGAAGAAACTGTAGTCGGTTTTGAGAAGGAAAACAGTGAAGCCATTATTGAAATTACTACCACTGATGTGACTGCTAACGATAATGGGACATTACCTGATGGAGCAGATTTGTCATCTAACATTGAAATATATCAGTTCCTAGCTTTGGTGAGAACAACTGGGAAGTCACTTTTAAAAGTTTATTTTTTACAGTTTATAACAACTATATATATCGGTAACAAGGTTTATTTTGACAAGTATAATTTAGTAGACTATAAATATGTAGACGAGTTTAATATAAGTCAAACCCTTCCTACTTCTAATCAATCATTTCAGTATTTTAGTCAGTTTTGTTGTTATTGTTGTTGTAGTTAATCAAAAAATTTAATAATATTATGTGCAGAAAATGTTCACAGTACACTTGTAGTATGACCAATTGATTTCTGGTTTCTTTCTAAAACTTATAGTCTGAGAACGTTGGCAACTTGCCAAGAACAGCTCACGGAAGTTTAGAACAGCAAAATTGTCTATGTAAGAGATCGTAGTTGAAAACCGTGTGAATATCAAACTGTCTGTAAACAATCAATTATCACTGGTGAGCCCTGCAGGGAAGCGGGTTATGTTGTGAAATCAAACCTGCTAATAAGGTGGAGATAATAAATAATGTTAAGAATATTTATTAATTTTGGACGTATATTTATATTTATGTCATAAATATTGTTTTAATCTAAAAACAGATAACTAAATAAACGTAAATTCAGAAAATGTGTTTATACGTTCTTCTAATACACTTTGCTGATATTCCCACACGATAATGTGAAAGTTTTGGAACACAGAATACATTCATAAGAATATATACAAGATTAGCTACAAGAAAATTCAAATTATAATTTAGATTAGAGTGACGATAAGACAACTAACAGGACACATAAACAGTTTAAACTATATTAAAACTATTATTTTACAGACTAACATAGCACCATATAAAATATAGATTACAAAAAGGTGTTACAATCTAAAGACAGTATCCACTAATACATTACCCTTCTTTAATTAATAACTACTTAATTCCAATAATAATTATGTGTTAATAATTATTAAATAAAATAATTTTACAGGAGTAAAGTTGAGTTTAATATCAATAAAAATTCCTATTTTTTTCTTGGACCAGAAGTAAAGATGGTATTACCTATTAATTTATAACAATACATATTCAAAGGACTACTTATTTCATGTCTTTATACATATAATTGTTGACAATCACTTTTCATATTCAATATATTTGTGTGTTTCTTTATTTGTCCAACCACACTACAAATGGGTAAAAGTAATCAAGATATGATAAGGAGTTTAATCCTAGTTTGAGGTTGTAAAGAATTTCAGATATATTTGTGTACACCAAGATTCGTAAGTTAATCAGCTATCACTCAGTTACAAACCTCTAGCCAGGGTTAATTACACTTCGGTAATACATGTTAAACTTATAGGTAGTCTCGCGCTGACAGTCTGATATTTGTATATAATGTAAACAACATTCTCTAAGTAACGAAGTGATGTTAGTCAACATTAAATATAAATATTGAACAACAGTATTGTAGCAGTTCTTCCTTTACCGTTTAGTACAGTGTTTATTAAAACAAACCTTAGTTATAAATGTGGATGATACACTCATAGGGCCTATCATAGTGAAACATTGGCAATACTGGAACTTAATTGATAAATGCTAAAAGTAATACGTTTAGAATCTAGACGTTCATGTTTAGAAGCTGTAAATTTGGTCAGCTAATAGAATCAATTTGTACGAAAATATGTTATTTTCGGATAGAAAAAAAAACAGCCTTTATTTTTATTGAGTTGGAAATGACTACAATTAACCATAAAGATGTTATTGTTCTAACATAAAACATGAAAATGTTTTTAAACTGTAAACACAAATGTACTACCAACACTTTGGCTAGAAACAATTTTAAGTAATATCCAGATGAAAGTATAAAATTTAAATTATTCTGTTGAATTTATCGTTTATTGAAAGTTGCTACAACTTTAAATAAATTTATAAATAAAGATTAATATTTGAACATTTGTTTGAACAACAAGGAAGTATAAAGCTTAGAAAATTAAATTGATTAACTATCTCAGAACTCAAGTACCTAGAATATTTAAACATTTAAAGGGTCCTATAGAAAGAAAACAATTAACAATATCAGAATACAAGTGGATAAGATGTTCTAACACACTTGAATAATTGTAATCTTAGAAGAACAATTGAAGAATACATTTAAGACAAAGAAAACTTAAAGAACATTGTTTGAATAGATATATTTAATGAAATAGAAGTATTCCAAATATTTCAAATCATATTTATTGTTGGTTTGAAGGTTAGTTTTTGAGAAATGTTATGTGACAAGAAACTTAGATCTCTGAAGAAGTTTGAATTACTGGTTTATGAAATGTGTTTGTCTGTGAATTACTTTTCTTATTGGTTTTAAGTTTAGAATGTTTCGATAATATCATTAACAGTTGTCGTGTTTGACCACTGGACTTTCAGTCTTGTCATGATATATAAAAAGAATCACGTGATTATCTCCAGAAGATAAACAACAAGTTAAAACGATCGAAGTTCATACATCGTTGGTTGTACAGTATATTACTGACTCAGATCGTATATTAAAACGACACAGACTCGTTCATAACATTTTGAAGGAATTCCTAACGGTGTAGAGACCAATCAAAAGTTGTTTTGAAGTATATTTTTGATTCTTTTTACAACTGATTAATAACATTCATTACTTTAAGTCTTTTTATTATCTTACTTTTCTTTTGTATGAATGAAGTTATGAATCATTAAATGGCATGTTTTAGTTTTAAGATAATTACTCTAGTACAAGAGGTGTTGTATAATAAAGTGTCAGAGTTTGGATTTTGTGTTTAAATCCTGTCCTAGTAAAAACTGTGAGTAAGACTTTCCTACATTATATAAGTATTGGTCACTGTCAAATAACAAAAATCATTAAGTTCTTGGGTTTTGTTAATATTTATCCTGTTATTGTTGCAGTCTATATAAAACAATGAAGTTGTTTCAGTTCTGTATATTTAAATAACTCATCTTTGTTTTTATACCTTAACTTAAACTAAATTTAATTAGCACAGACACTCTGTGTTTTTTTTAAATGCCGGTTCGTTCACTAATTTTGTTTTTATGTTTCGTAAACTTTTCTGTATTAGGCCTGTCAGAGACAAGCTTTTTCAATATTCTTTACTTTACAGTAAGAAGGAAAAAAGAAGTATTTAAAAATGATAAAATTCGTCTTTATTTGGCTTGTTTTCTGGACTTGTCCAAGTTTTGGATCAGAGACCGTCCAGAAACAGTGTGAAGAGACGTCAATAACCGGAATAGTTGCGTCCATCGACGTCCTTGTGTCACTAGCCAAAGAAAACCTGAAAACCAGAAGTAAAAGTTCACAGAAAGTTTATCTAGAGGTGTAAATATCTTATATAAAGGTGTAAATAATTTTTATTAATTAATTTAGAATTAAATTTATTTATCAGATTTTTCGTCATCTTGTGTAGAGCAATTTTTCACAGAAATCATCTGGTCCAAATTATTTATGTTATTATTGTTGTTGAATGATGGTATTGTTAAATATGAAGGATGTTGTATTGTTAAAAACGTGAATTGTTTTTCACTTCACCTGTTAAATAAAAGTATTGTTTAATATAATGAATTTTACAGTCCATTATTTAAAGTTCTTTAGTTAACTTAATGGTTTGTAGTTAAACACAAAGCAACACAAGTGGTTCTCTGTTCTGTACCCAACACGGGTATCGAAACCCGGTTTATAGCGTTGTAAGTCATCAGAAATTTGCTGAGTTTGTGTGTGTGTTTCGGGGGAGGCTTTGGTTAGCGTAACACTAAATATTTTTTTTAATTATTTTTCTCGTCTTATCAGACAAACGACGTTCGTATTTACAGTTTCAAATGAAACATTATTATTGATAATTTATGAAATTATTACTTAGTTTATTTCGTATTTATTATATAAAAATATAAATAAAACTGTGGAAAAGTATTTACACGATAAACGATTAACAGACAGATAAAATATATTTTAATTTTACTCTATATATTTAAATATATAAAGGGTGGAGCAGAAGAGACTACAAAGTTATTTATTTTAGAAATAATATAATCTATAACAATTTACTCTGAAATAAACAATAACTAAATTGGTTTCCATTGTCTTTGTAATATTTTCTGTAGCACCAGCCGCATAATACCAACTATACCAACCGTATAGTACATATCATACCAATTAAACTAAGTATACTGATATACATATCAACTTTAGGAATGATTATTGTGGATTAAAGAAACAACAGAATTACAAACTACGTCACACTCATATTCATATATATCAGTATCTCTAGACAACAAATAAACTAACAAATTATTTGTCCGTATATTTATATATGTTGAGCCTCATTTCAATAACGTAAAGATTATATCTTTATATTTTAGATAAACATCTAATCTATCAACAAACTGACCAAACATGTTCTCTTTCATCACCTGGACCAACAGACTGTGCTGATGTTCTGCTTAATAGACACACTACCAGTGGATCGTATCGTATCTGGCCCAAGTCATGGATGACTACAGGAAGTTTCAATGTTTACTGTGACATGGATACTGATGGAGGAGGCTGGACGGTAAGTAACGTTTATTATAGATAATATAATATAAAACTATTAGATGTAAAAAGATATATAGTAAGTTTAATTATAATAGTAAACTTACAAGTTCTTCATTTTCTCTATCTAAGGTAATCCAAAGAAGAGGAAACCATGGAAACCCAGAGGATTACTTTTTCAGACCTTGGGCAGATTACAAAGTAGGATTTGGAGACATTCAAAAGGAATTCTGGCTAGGTAAGTTCTGATTAGGGTTTTAACAGATGGTGTTAAACATACAGAATATCTGTATAAGTAGGTTCTGTTTACAGTTTTTAAACAGATGGTTTTAAAGTTACAGGAGGAGTTCTGTCTGCGTTAGGCTCTTATTCGACAAGTACTCTTACCTGATGAAAAGAAACATTGTACTTTTGTTACTTGTAATAGTTTTTTTCATTACCAATTCAAACCATTTCAAACTATATTTTCTAAAAGTGATTTCCTCATCCACAAACTTGGATAAACAAAATAAGGATGTTAACAACACCTTTCTGCTCCAACAATGTAGCTTTTTTAATTTGGCTAATGAACAAGTCTTTCTTAATGATTTTCTGAAAATGTTTCATTATTAATTTGTAGGAAACGATCGGATCTACGCTCTAACAAATCAAGGAAACTATTCAATCAGGTTTGATTTAAAAGACAAAGAAGGAAACGAGAGGTTCGCCATCTACCGGAAGTTTTGGATAGAAAACGAAGACAACTTGTATAGATGTCAGTAATTACTCTGGTGACGCAGGTAATCAAAGTTTACTTTTTAATCTAATTTATTATTTTATTAGAATTTTGTCGGATACAAATATTTAAAATTATCATTTCAAAAATAATTAGTTGAAATAATTTTATTATCCAAACTGTTTGAAATGTTTAATATTAAAGACATTTTTATTCTAATGTCATTTACAACCTTCCGTCAGATTTAACTAAATTATCACCAGATCTTCTTGCTCGTGTATCTTGAGTGACGATAGAGAAAGAATGTTAATTTTAGAACAACAAAAGTTTAAATATAAAACTACACAGTGAGGCTAGAGGTGTCTCCCTGATCGGGTCAAACTGGTAGAGAAACGTTCTTTGTTTTCAATTGTCTGGTGTTGAATGTACCAAAAGTGATAAAACTGTTTAAATATATATGTTACCAGCCTTTTTATGATAAAACTATAAAAATTAGCAATGCTAGTTTAATAATCAGGTGAATGTTAGGTGTGAATCGTAAGGACTGGTAATTCACTTTACTATTAATAAAACAACACCTATGTTAATATTTATTATGTGTTTTATTATTTGATTTATAAAATTATTTATTATCTTTCTTTTATATTACTAAACATTTTGTTAGTGAAAGTATCCAGACATTTGCTAATTACCTAATAATCACTGTCATTAGATGTTTTCTACATTATGTATTGCTGTCTTAAGGTACTTTATGTTTTAGAGACTAAAATATATTGTACTTTAGGTTAAGCTGTTTTGTAGCTTGTGTATTAATATTTCAATCCTAAACTGTCTTGTACCTTATGTATTTCAGTCCTAAGACAGTGTAATACCAATCTCTGTAACTACTTCTATTATCTGTAGTATGTCGGTAAACAATGATCCGGACTTTAGAATCAATATTTCTTTGTGGTTCCATATACATTCTGTATGGAATAGAATTAGCTGATGTGAGTCATTCCAAGACTTTCATATTGATTATTGATTCTCTACAACTAGTTGTATTGAGAAAATTCCTTATTTTTCAACATATTATCCTGCAGTGAAATGTCTTACTACAGTCCATTTAAATTCTAAATAGCTTAAAACAACGTTAGTTGAAATATTCACCTGCTTACTGCCGACCCAAATTTCAATTTTGGCCTTAATACGTAATGATTCATGATTTAAAATCCAGTGCTGAAGTAACTGTACCTCGTCAACAATCCTTTACTAAGATAGCAGTACCTCATCAAAAATCTAAGTAATTCATTAAAAATATATGTTTTGCCATCTTTAAATGTTCCTGTAGGTTTTACATTAACCTTTGCTGAGTTTCCTTGTAATATATTAAGGATGGAGATACAGGATGGATGGGGGGTGGATAAACAGGGTGAATGCAGGATAAAAACATCATAAGTTTAAGTATGGTCAGGTTCATTTTCACCAAAGATACTATATTGTTTTTATATTTACAGGAGACTCATTCGGCGGCCACAACGAGTTCAGGTTTACCACGAAGGACAAAGATAATGATATTGATGGTACTAATTGTGCCCAAACCTTTAAAGGAGCTTGGTGGTACATGAATTGTCACGTTTCCAATCTTAATGGACTCTACCTCAACGGTGAACACGAAAGTTATTCTGATGGTGTGGAATGGAGCGAGTGGAAAGGGCATAAATACTCCCTTCCAGATGTGGAAATGAAAATACGTCCCCTGATACTAATTCCTCTGTAAGACATTAGTAACAATAACCAGGTGTATTTCCACGTTTTCTGCAATGAATACGTCATAGAGCTATGGTTCTACTTTACTTCTGTTTTTCCATAATAACAAGTTTATTAAAAACTTATCAGTAACGATCGGACTAAGAAATTGTACAAATTATTTCATTTTAATGGTACTTGTCACGTGAATGTGAAGGTAATAATTAAAAAAATATTTAAAAATGCAAAGCATTTCACAAAACAAAATAATACAAAATGTTTGAAAATGTAAGACATTTGAAAATACAAGTTTAAGACTCATTACGTTTGAAAGTGAGTTTAATACATAGAAGTATTTTCATACTAAAATTCATAATAAATAATATTACCGGTAGGTGTCTAAAGTGTTCCATGTCTCTAGCATCAACTTGACTCAAAGTTCCGCATACATATTGATAAATAAAATATTTTATTCGTATATCACAATAAGGTTATCAATAAGGTTGTCTACTTTTACTATACGTGATTCTTATGATTATATTATATCACGTGACACTGTCACCCAAGAGGTGTATTGTAACCAGGTGACTCACGCAATACTGTAATCCAATATATATGAAAATTAAATCACATGATTGACTCAGTAACTACAAGATACCACGACTGTAGATATACAAATAAGATCACGTGATAGACTCAGTAAGATGAACTACAACATACCACGACACTAGATATACAAATAAGATCACGTGATAGACTCGGTAAGACAAACTACAAAACATCACGACTGTAGATATACCAATAAGATCACGTGATAGACTCAGTAAGATAAACTACAAGATACCACGAATGTAGATATAAAAATAAGATCAAGTGATAAACGCAGTAAGATAAACTACAAAACACCACAACTGTAGATATATAAATAAAATCACATGATAGACTCAGTAAGACGAACTACAAATTACCACGACTGCATATATACAAATAAGATCACGTGATAAACTTAGTAAGATGAACTACAAAATAACACGACTGTAGATATTGTTACGTATCTGCTTGTTTAATAATTTCCAGTATAAATTCTTTCCGAGGAACTTCAGCGATACAAGTCTCTTATTGATTAAGCCAGTTTATTATTTCTCGAAACAAACTTTTAGTACACAGTAATTTCACAATCAGTACGATTCTCGTCACTTTAAACTTAACTACTATTATAATACACGCTATAACTCACAGCGATTCACAATCTGGATAAACACAGACTTTACTTACCGTCACTACTGTTCGCTTCTTTAGTTATC